CAAACCCAGTTATCCCAGATTAGTGTCCGCGCACTGAACCACCACACTAAACTACATCAAACTGGAGGGCCTGCTTCAGGGGGGGAGGGCTCCACTGGCCTTCCCTGCGCCATCCCCGACCTTACTGTCCTGGCAGCATGGCCTGACTGGCCTCAGGGAGGGGGGAGATGGGCACGGGCCCTGCTTCGGGGGCCCCCCCACCGGTTTCCCTTGTGCCGCCCACTTCCTCGCTGCCCCGGCGGCGTGGCTCGACTGTCCTCAGGGAGGGGGGAAACGGCCACGCCGCGCTTCCCTGGCCCACTGTGGCCTGGCACAGGGAGGCCACACACCCTGCTTCAGGGGGGAGGCCCCGCCAGCCTTTCCTGTGCGACTCCCGGCCTCGCTGGTCTGGCGGCGCGGCCCAAGTGGCTTTGGGGAGGGAGGAGACGGTTGCGCGGCTTCACTGGGCTGCCGTGGCTGCAGGCCGGCCCACTCTCCCACACCCCCTCTCTAGAGATGGTTGCCTTTTTCTCTGCCACGGGTCTTATTCAGAGCCGGACGCAGCTTATTTTGCACCTTAGGCGAGGATCCTTTCCCCCCCCCCCCCCCGTGCGCCAGGTTCAGCAAAAGAGCTTCCCCGGCTGCGGAAATGCAGGGCTTTTGGTGGTTGGGGGGCTTTTGGGGGGGCGGGGGTGCAGTTTGGCGCCCCTAAGGGCCGGGCCACTCTAGGCGGATGCCTAGTTCGCCTAGTGTGCGAGCCGGCCCTGGTCTTATTGCTAGTATAGGTATATAGATAGGGGCAGTCAGTTGGCAGGAAGGGCTAATTAGAATCAAGATGCATAAGTAACTGAGCAATAAATATAGCTAAGATTGGAATAACACAGTTGGTAAGACATGTGAATAGTAGCAAATTGGCATACGGAAGGAATTAACAATGGATGTGAGGACTGAGTTTGAGTCCAGTGGCATCTTGAAGACCAACAAAGTTTAATTTCTGGGTACGTGAGAACTGAGTGAATTAGCAAGTGTAGTGAGATAAGAAGCTGACATCTCTGATAAACCCTGGGGGTTCCACTGTCCTGAGTGTTGTAAGAACTTGTAATTCTGCAGTCTCCCATTCCAGTCTGTTTCTGAAATTCCTTTGCAATAAAACAGCTACTCTGAGGTCCCTTATCAAATGCCCTGGGAGGCTGAAATGCTCTCCTACAGGTTTCTCAGTCTTGTGATTCTTGATGTCAGATTTGTGTCCATTTATCTTTTGGTGTAGGGTTTGACCTGTCTGTACAGAACGAAAGGGCTTTGTTGCCATTTAATGGCATATACAGTGTTAGAAGATGAACAAGTGAATAAGCCTCAGATGGTGTAGCTGTCCTCGTTAGGTCCAGTAATTGTGTTGTGTGGGTGTATGTGGCAGCAAAGTTGGCATCTGGGTTTATTGCAAGCTCTGGTGCCAATGTCCATGTCCAAATTAGATATTGTGTTATTGTTGGTGAGCACCCACCTGAATCTACGAGGGCCACTGTGAGAATCAAATGGCCACAGTGATCCACGCAACGGTCACTTCAAGACTAGACTACTGTAACTGAGAGCCAGTTTGGTGTCGTGGTTAAGTGCGCGGACTCTAATCTGGGAGAACCGGGTTTGATTCCCCACTCCTCCACTTGCACCTGCTGATGTGACCTTGGGTCAGTCACAAGCTCTGGCACAGCTGTCCTTGAAAAAGAGCAGTTTGTGTCAGAGTTCTCTCAGCCCCACCCACCTCACAGGGTGTCTGTTGTGAGGAGGGGAAGGGAAAGGAGTTTGTGAGCCGCTCTGAGACTCCAAGTGAAGGGTGGGGTATAAATCCAATCAGTTCTTCTTCTCTTCTTCTTCTAACTTGCTCCACACAGATCTACCCTTGAGGCTCACCTGGACATTGCACCTGGTCCGGAATGCAGTGGCATGTCTTCTCACAGGAACTTCGTTCAGAGCCCACATTCAACCGATGCTCTGGTATTGACCTTTAGAACCCTAAATGGTCTGGGACCAGCATACCTGCGGGACCCCCTCTCCTGGTATACCCCCTGTGTTCGAACGGGCCCGCGTCAGCTGGCAGGCCCTGCTCTGCCCACCCCTCCTTTGCCTGCCCTGGCACCTGAAGGGGCAGTTTTTCACCACTGCCTCCGGGTATTGCTGCCACCACTGTCCGTGTCTTGGGCTCTGGTTAGGCGGGACAGCCTCCTAACCTCCCTCTGATGGTCGCTAGGAACCCACCTCGGGGCTTCCTGGCAATCTTCGGGGCTCCCCTGGAGAGTTGGCAACTGGCAGTTTTGCCCTTGTTCTCCTTTTCAGGGAGTCCCCAACCCACTCTTAGCGTGGGCTGGGGGAACTAAGCGGTACAGAGGGACTTCAAAATGTCAGCAGTAAAAGGATTTATTTTGAAACCACTCAACTATATAGGTAAAGGTAAAGGTTTCCCTTGCTCGAAAGCCAGTCTAGTCCGACTCTAGGGTTGCGGTGCTCATCTCCGTTTCAAAGCCGAAGAGCCAGCGCTGTCTGAAGACATTTCTGTGGTCATGTGGCCGGCATGACTCAACACCAAGGCGCACGGAATGCTGTGACCTTCCCACCGAAGCGGTACCTGTTTATCTACTTGCAACGTCTTGCTTTCGAATAGGCGTATTAACAGTGAACGGAAGAATCAAAATAAAGGTGACTAATAAACCGCTCCCTCTCCCCCTTCTCTACACGGATGCCCTGCCTAGATGGTCTGCTGGGCAGGCACACAACTTGCTTCCACTGGAGGAGGTTAGATTAGCACCACTCCCAGCATGGCCTCTCTGCCTCCTCCTGCAGACTCCGGCCGACAGCCTGACTTGACCCAGACTTCAGACAGACAGACCTCCATCCTGAACGGCTGGCCTCCGGCCCAAAAGCTCCACTCTGTCAAGCAGCCCTCCCCACCCAGGAAGTGGCTCTCCCTCCTGCGGCCTTCTGGGGCAGATCTCCTCACCGCCTTGATGGACTTCCTGTCCTCTCGAGGGAGCCGCCCTCTGACTGCTGGTTGGAGACGGGGGGGGGGATGAGGAGGAGACTAGGCCAAGGCCTGCCTCAGGCTTGATGGTCCCCTCCTATCCGGCCCCCGCCAACTTAAACATAGGCATAAAATGGCGTTTCTCCACCCCCACCCCCAAAGAGCTTTATGGGCAATGACATACTGGTGAGCCCTGGCCCAGGAAGCATCTGGCTGTCCTGGACCAGAACCAGGGCTTTTTTTGGCCCTGGCTCCGACCTGGTGGAACACCCTGCTAAGTGAGATCCGGGCCCTGCCGGATTTGGTGCAGTTCTGCCAGGCCTGCAGCAAGACAGAAATGTTCTGCCAGGCCTATTAGGGTTTCCAACCTAGACTGGCCTCTCTTCCCCACCCCCCACCCCAATTTCTGGGTTGTCATCTTCTCAACTAACTGTGGTATGTGTCACTCTCCCCCCCCAATAGGGGGCACTAAGCTGAGCTCTTTTATGTGCCGTCTGGTCAATTATTAGTATCGTTGTAAAAATTGTTCTTGGGCTGCGGTGGCTCATGTGGTTAAGACGGTTAAGTCGGTTACTTAACAAAGAGTCAGAGAGTGATTTCAGCAAAAGATCAGCTTTATTCAGCGACTCGTAACTCAACTCCAAACAGATCAACATGAATAGCCAGAACAGCTTTAGCCCTGAAGCGGTTCTTCTTTTAAACTCTCCCGGCTAATATAGCCACGCCCTATTTTACAATACCAACCTATGAGGTTGCAGGGATTAAATCCAATCACAATAGTTCCTGCTCTTGGAACTGGCTGTTGGTGATTGGTCGGCTCTTCCTGGGCTACCAATTACAATTGAAGGATTAGGATCCTAGCCCAGGATGAAAGCTTCACATGGTGATTCAGCCAGGGAGTTCACACATACATTTGACAGATTGAATACACCACAAAGACGCAGACTGGAAGGTCGGTAGTTCAGCAGTTCGAGACCCGAGTGTGCTGCATGAGCTCCCGTCTCTGGCTCCAGCTCCTGCCAACCTAGCCGTTCGAAAGCAAGACATTGCAAGTAGATAAATAGGGACCGCTTCGGTGGGAAGGTCACAGCGCTCCGCTCGCCTTGGTGTTTAGTCATGCCGGCCACACGACCACAGAAACGTCTTCAGACAGCGCTGGCTCTTTGGCTTTGAAAGGGTGACGAGCACTGCATCCCAAGAGTCAGATTTGACTGGCTTTCGAGCAAATTGTTTTAAATTAATTTTATTGATGTTGTTTTATAAATGTTGTTACCCTTTCTGTGCCCTGTTGTACAAGGGCGGGAGCAGGGGCAGATTAACCATGAAGCAGACAAAGCATGTGCTGAGGGCACCAGGGCCAAAGGGGGCACCACAAAGTTGGGGAAAAGGGTGAAAAGAAAAAAACCCACGAAGATTTGTAAAAAATATATATATGATAAAACTAGTGCACATTGATCATGGTGCACCCGAGGGTTATTTTCTGTTTTTTGTCAGCAGTGTCCATAGGCTATGACGCCAAGATTGGGGGCACCAAGATCGGTCAGTGCTTAGGACACCAGTGAGCCTTTAATCCACTCCTGGGCAGGAGGGCTATAAATCCAATATATATAAATAAGTAAAGACAATCAGGTGTCCCTTCCTGAGCTCCTCGGGTCAGGAGAAGACTGTACTAGACACCCGAGTTCCTCGGACTAGAGTGCCGCATCCTTCTCTCCAGGGCCTTTGCCCAAGGTGAGAGGGAGACGGGCCGAGCACCCTGAAGGAGACCTAGAGGGTGCCGTCGGAGCGTGCGCAGGGCAGGGAAGAGCCAAGCGCTCTCAGGCGCCCCTCACGCCCGCCCGCCCGGGCACGGGCACAGGGCCGAAGTGAATGGGACGTCATGTGACTGGCGGCTGCGCCGGGCGTGCACGTGCATCCTTCAGGAGGGGGGGGGGGGGAGGCTCCCCAGAGGTCACGTGGCCCCCCTCCCTCCCTCTCCCCTCCAGCTGCGGAGGGAGGCGAGCGCAGCTGGCCGGAGGCGGCTCCTTCTTCTTCTTCTTCTGTGCCGCCGCCGCAGCGCCCGGGAGGGAGGGAGAGGAGCAGGCGAGCGAGAGGCAGCCCGAGCCGGCCGTGGCTTCTGCGCCTCGCTCGGGCGAGCTCGATGGCTGCGCCGTCCTCCCGCTGAGGGGCGGCGTCCCGGGAAGCGCCGCGGAGCCGGCATGTGGGGGTAGGTCGCCGTCGTCGCCGTCCCCCCCC